CGGTGCGGTGAGCCATCTCACACCGCAAGAGTTCGGTCTCCTGAAATGTGACGTCGTATTTTTCTATATTTTTCCGAAAACAGATATACTATGTACGCGAGATGTTTCCTCTGGAGACAAAACAAACCGGAAGGGAGGGTAGAAGTGACCAGAAGACGAGGAAGAAGACGTAAGAAGATGCTGGATGACCTTGGGGACAGAAGAGGCTATATCATTATTTGAAGGAGAAAGCTTGAGATCGCGTTAAATGGAGGAACTGTTTTGGAAGAGACTGTGGCCCTGTCGTTTGACAGATTACTGATGAATGAATGCACAAACCCTTCTGAGGGACCTGCGACTCCATCTTTATGGTATAAAATAAGAAACAATAGTAATTATCTCATGAACTACAAAATTTCATTATCCGAAGGACAGTAATGTTCACATTTACCGCCTTGAGAACTTCAAGGTTCACGTATTCCAAGTGTTCACTCAATATTCATTTACAATTCCGTAGTTTGCTACCAGAAGAAATTAAGCTGAAGAATTCTGTGATTAAGCAGTACAGGTGAACCTTGATTTTTGTCATTGTGGCACGAGTAGGGAACTGGCTACCAGCCGGGTTTGTCTGGTTCCGCAGGCAGAAATGGAGTTAAGGAATGCATATAAATTGAGGTTTAAGAGACATCACACTATCCATCAAGTTCCTCTCCCCTCCAACCCGTTTCTATCTCTATCGAGTTGTTCCCGAGAGAGAGAGAGGGGGGGGTAAGGCAAAGAGTAAAAAAGTTTTCCTTCCCAGGTCAACTAGAACAAGCGAGTGACGTTTCTTCCCTCTTCTTCTTGAAAAATGGCCCTTGTGATCAAAGAAGGGGGGGGGGGAAGCTGGGAAATTGTTCACAAACTTCTGTGCAGGTAAATGAGTGAAGGTTGGACTACTGGAGTAAATTTAGCCATTTATATGGTAAGTTTTAGTGAAAAATACTTCTTTTGTTAGTTCCTTTCCGTGGAAACTTGTAATGTCTATTGCTGAAACGCCAAGAATGACGGCAAAGAAGTTTGTTCCATTGATCTTTCCAAACACCGAATAAATTCAGAAAAGCATGACCACTGCTTCCGTGTATAACATGGAAAATGCAATGGGATCATGTTGCAGGTTGTACAGGTATTTTGTTATGTTGTAGGCCTCTAGGTTGCTATTCGGGAGTCTCTGTGTCCTCTTCTTATACAATTTGTGCCGTAAAGGGGCCTTTGCATGTAAGGACGTTGAGCCTTTCTGTGAGGAACAAACAGAAGTTTCATTACGATCGTGGTACATAGAACACAAGAATGTAACACGAATAATAAAAAAACCTAAAACATATTTTCTATTGACTAAATGCTAAAAATTTAGAATAGGTTCCTTGGGTGATTTTTTTAATATTATACCTTGCAATTATAATCACACAATATGATTGATTGAGTAGCATGGCTGCCTCGTATTTGGGAGGTCAGAGGTTAGAGACTGGCTAAAACTTATTGAGAACTTTCGTGGTATTTCTTAGACCCTCCAGAAAAACTCCACGTAGCTGAGCCTTCTTGAGAAGATGCCAGTTACTCAGTTACCCAAGAACTTCCAAATATTTTCTGTAACCTCAAGGTTCATTACCGTGTTCACAAGATCTTTTCACTGGTCCCTATAGTGAGCCAGATCAATCCAGTACATACCAACCCATTCTATTTTTTGTCTGTATCAGTGTAAGTTCTACCGCCACCAGGTGAACATATAATTGCACTAAAATAACAATAAGTTCCATTTTAATATTATCCAACCACCTACGTCTTAGTCTACCTAGTGGTCTCTTTTCCTTTCGCTCTCCCATCAACATTCTATGTATATTCATATTCTCTCTCATACGTGCTACATGCCCTGCCCATCTCATTCTCCTTGATTTGATTATTCTCATTATACTTAGCGAAGGGTACAAGTTATGAAGCTCCTCATTATGCAGTTTTCTCCAACCTCCTGTCACTTCATCCTTCTAGGATATTATATCAATTAGACTGCAACCGTTCCTTTTGCATCCCTTTCAAGTCATTATTCAGTAATCGTCCTGTCCTTCGACTCCATAGTATCTGAGATAAGGAATCTCTCGTTAATAAATCCTATATATACATAAACAAAATTCGTGTTTGTGGTATTTTATGGTTAGAAGTGAATAGAGAGTTTTTGTATGAAAAACTGAAGGAAAGTTTGGAAGTAGACAGGAGAAGAATTGCCAGCATTTTATGGAACCCGAAGGTTCATTACCGTGTTCACAAGAGCCCTCCACTGATCCCTATCCTAAGCCAGATCAATCCAATCCATACCATTCCATCCTATCTCTCTAAGATCCATTTTAATATTATCCACCCACCTACGCCTTGGTCATCAACGACATAGAGAATCGAAAATACTTGCATCACCGGGACTTGAACTCCAACTCCTCCGTCCTCCAGTCCGTAGCCAGTCTCTATACCGACTGAGCTATTAAGATTCACATAATTGGAAAGTTTGAGACAGGGGTGGGACAGCGGTTCATGACAAAAAATGGTTCCGCGAGAGCAAAACCTGCGAATCACTTCTCACTTAAAGTGACCCGCCTCAAGTTATCTTTGTCGTCCCGATAGCGTAAGGTATAAGCACACTGTGAAACAGAACCATGGAAATAGATATCACAGGTTGCAGTACGTCGCCTGAAACATACCAACCCTTACATGACGCGACTCAAATTTCGAATCACGTATGGTAGTTTTATCTTAAGCTAGATACACCCCCAACAGTGGCACATGGGGGATTATTTGTGACGTGTCACGCCTAGTAGTGGAAAGCCCCGGGGTGTTTTATGAGGGGAGGGGGTGAGATTTTGTGTCTTCTGTCTGCTTGATGTATTTTCAGAAGACCACTGTGCCTTGACTTCTCCCTTGTGTAGGGGGGTTGGTGGAGATTGGAAGGGGTACCTTATGGAACTAAGATAAGTTAAAGGTATATATAGTCTGGGGGGGGAATGTGTTAAAGAAGAGGGAGGAAATAGGAGGGGGAGGTGGCTTGGAAAGAATAAGAACAGATTGTCGGTGGCTTGAGGGAAAAAAGAAGTTCTTTTTTAAAGGTTTTTGTGGGGAGATTTTCTTGTTAGCCCGCCTTGCCTGTATTTTCGTGTCACGTGACGAGATATGTTGTGACTTTAAGCAGAAGTTAACACTGGGGTTGTCCGACAAAGACTTAACTACTAAGCGTACAGGGAGTATTCTTTGGGTCATAATTCAGGCGTGGGTCCCAGAGAGCGAATTAGTTTATAAAGCCAAATAGTTCACTTGTGTATTGTTAGAAATGGGGTTCTAGACTTCAAAATAACTGGAGACCAACTATACAGGCTCCACATAAAGGTCCAGAGATAAGCTCCAATATTATATTTATATATAAACATTAAGGAAATGTACACTATTAATCGGGACACGCGGTAGCATAGCTGGATGAGGCACTATTCTAAAAGCCGGAAGGTCGTAGTTTCGATTCCTGATGAGGTCAGCGGATTTTTCAATTGACGTAATCCTTCCAGCCGCACTATGGCCCTGTAGTCGACTCAGCCTCTAACAGAAATGAGTACCAGGAACCTTCCTGGGGGGGTTAAGGGCGGCCGACGCGTAAGGCTGACAACTTCACCGCCATCTATTATCCGATTGTCTAGAAAATGTGGGAGCCTTGACGTCTAACAACTTTGTGGGTTTCCACGGTCTGTATATAAATAACTTTATATTTTTTTTTAACTTTTGCCTAAACGATAAATAATGCTTTGTTGTGTCTTCTGTTTTTGTGTATATGTCTTTCGTTTCGTTCTTTGTTTCGTGTTTGCCTTATAATTGACCCATGGCCTATTGAGTAGTTACCTAAATAAGTAATTAATCGAATTTAGATTAATTATTGGTATAATTATTTTTTTCTTTAGATGCGGCAGTGTGAGAAGACACAGGATAGAGCAGAGATTTAGACAGCCAGCCAAAGAAGCTGAGAATCCCCCAGTTTTGAGCCATTTCGCAACGGTTTTATACAACTAATCTAATAACCTCTCCTCGATCATCCAGCTTTGGGTAGATCCAAGGCAAGGGACATCGCTTAAAATGCGCCAAGGGTTCCTTCAAGTAACCTCAAAGCCGCTCAAACAGTTTATATACTTCTGGTTGAAAAGAAGAACTGTATGTACATATTTTCTGTGGCAGAGAATTTCTATCAGCTTCCTTTATGAAGCGTCCAGCATTTTAAGAGTCAATGCCTCTTTTACTGTAAAAGTGATATATATCGACCTGACTTTTATTATTTCTCTGTATGGTTTTAGGTTCTGACAGCGGTGGTTATGAAGGGTTCTGTCTTCTGAGATAAAGCTTAGTATTCATTCATTCATCAGTAATCTGTCAGACGACAGGTCCACAGTCTCTTCCAAAACAGTTCCTCCACTTAATGCGATCTTCTGTTTTTGGAAAGAGACTATCCAGGAAAAGTGATAATGTGGTAGTTTTTCCATTTGCTTTCCACATCGCAGTACAACAGCCGTTCAAACCACTCTGGTCACGCCTGTTGCTATACGAACTTGAACCATCTCGAGCATCATTTGCTCTGTGCTTCAAGTCGCTGCTGATGACGCTGCTTCCGGCATCAGTTTTTGGTGTCTCTCTTCGTCTGATGCCTACCCTTTGACCTGTCCAGCAAGGGAGGCCCTGCCAGTAGCTACGATACCGCTGGTATAGCTCTCAGGGTCCTTGGCATACTCAAACCCCCTCACCACGATAAGGCGGAGACACCAACGAAAGCTTAGTATAGTCCGTTGAAAATCAAGAGACCTTTTAGGAGGGACTTGCTCTGCTTTCTACTTGCTTCACGCTTGTTTCTTTCTTAGCTTATTTTTCTACCCTGAAGTTGGAGGCGACTTCTTACTCCGAAACTTTGATTGACTGTCAAGATACTACATGGCGTTATATCTCAGAAGATACAACTCTTTATTTTATAGATGCTGAGGGGGCCGTATAATATCCCATAAAAAATAAGAAAAGGAAGAGGAAGAGGAAGAGGAAGAGGAGGGAAGTACCCAAGCAGAAGGACGTTTCCATTACAATGTACCTGTAAATATAGCGCTCTTTAGTGTATATATTTCATAATTTCTCCACGATTCTTGACATCTATACTAGATGAATGTGAGTGGACAGCTTCACGCCCCAGCTGCTTTACCTGCATTAAATGATGGAGCTATACCTCCACTTCCACACATGCCTTCATGGCATGACGCTTAATTAATTAGCAACACAAGGACAACCTTATATTTACCTTTCATCTTTTCTTCTGCTTCAACACTGAAACTTCTTTTAGAAACATTGACCACATTGGAAAAAAGTCATAGCATATTGTAAAGGGTTCTGACGATGGTGTATAACACACAGAAGTACTGAGTTTCTTCACTTTTCCTCATCGTTTGTTATTCTAGAGAATATAAAACACGAAGTTTCGGAAACTGGATCTCTTTCGGACCTCAGGTGAAGGGGGGAGAAGACACCTACTGAATTGAGGCCCTTAGAAGAGCTAATCTCAATCACTGGACAACACCTGCCAGATTTACACAGCTAATTAATCACCTGGCCGGTCACGGTAGCCGAGCGGTCTAAGGCATGCACTGTCTTCGCTCGCTAGGAAACCGAGATCGTGGGTTCGAATCCCACTCAGGGCATGAATGTTTAGTTTGTGTGTGTGGGTTTTTCTGTGTTTGTGTACAGGTAGAGGCCTTGCGACGAGCTGATCACCCGCCCAAGGAGTCCTACCGAATGTTTAAGATCAAGAAAAACCGAAGTGAACGGAGAAGTTCATGGAGGTAGGCCTAGGCCCACTGGCGCTGTAGTGCCAAGGGAAAAAAAAATTAATCACCTGAGACCAGGCTAATTCGGCGGGAGATAACAAGAAAATATACAATAAAAACTCTGATAAAGCACGCACATGCGTGGAACTGTGACAGTAAAGGAGGTAGCAATTTGTGCACAAAACCATCGCTTCTCGTGTCCATTTGTGAAATGGCTGCCATGTCTGACAGTTTCGTTTTGAGGTTAAGTAGCATATAGCGATGCAGATCTGAACAGCATCATGTCTATCGAATGTATCTTCCTAGAGCAATATCTTTTCTAAAATATAAATATAAGAGTGAACAGAGCTTTCGGGCTGCTATCAGTTATGCTGGATTGTCATTTTGATCTCTCTACTGACGTTAAGGGTATGCCTTATACGTGCATAAAAGAGCAGATATGGCAACAGTCATTCATATTCGTGCGTTGTGGAACGTCTTATAGTGAGCAGTTGGCTGTAATATTTACAAATGTAAGGCTTACTCCCTCCATTGACAAATATCCTACTCCATTATCCACCCTCGATGTCGTCATGCATTTGTCATGGAACGTAAAAGTAATTACTGATAATATTATATTATAGCATCCTGCTGCGCTTTTCTTTACAGTGCCACGTGCAACACTATGTTCTGTAAGGTTTATTAAAAGTTATTTACTTTACAAGTCCATCACTATATGTTTAGACCATTGTGGTCATCATCAGGTGTTAAAATTATTGGGTGAGGAAACTGCTGTATTCTGTTCTTGTTTATGTTGTTAATATATGTATATATATATATATATATATATATATCCTCTCGATGCGTATTATGTACTTGTGTTGTTGGGCTGTGTTCTGTTTTGTGTGTTGTGCTGCGTGATTTTGTTCGAATGCACACGCATGTGTATCGAAGGGACTTAAAATATATATAGGTACTTACTTATGGAGCTCAGCCCTTCTTGAGGAGCCGCCAATTCTGCAGCTACTCAAGAATTTCTCAGCATTTTATGGAACCCGAACGTTCATTACCGTGTTCACAAGAGCCCTCCACTGGTCCCTATCCTGAGCCAGATCAATCCAATCCATAACATCCAATTCTATCTCTCTAAGATTCATTTTAAAATTGGCCACTCACCTACGCCTTGGTCTTCCCAGTGGTTTCTTTCCTTCTGGCTTTCCCACCAATATCCTATATGCAGTCCTAGTCACCCCCATTCGTGCTACATGCCCTGCCCACCTCATCCTCCTTGACTTGATCATTCTCATTATACTTCGAGAAGAGTACAAGTTATGAAGCTCCTCATTATGCAGTTTTTTTCCAACCTCCTGTCACTTCATCCCTCTTCGGTCCAAATATTCTCCTCAACACCCTGTTCTCAAACACCCTCAGTCTATGTACCTCCCTTAATGTCAGAGACCAAGTTTCACACCCATACAGAACCACAGGCAAAATTATAGTTTTGTATATTCTAATTGTTATGTTTTTGGACAGCAGACGAGAAGACAAAAGGTCCTGGACTGAATAGTAGCAAGCATTACCCGAGTTCAATCTCCTCTTAAATTTTTTCTTGAGTCAGGTTTTGATTTGTTATAGTCGTTCCCAAATATCTAGTATATATATAACAACCTAAGCAACAAGAGAAGACAGCAGTTTCGTCATCCAGTAATTTTAATACTGATGATGACCACAATGGTCGAAACATGTAGTGATGAACTTTTAAGGTAGATAATTTTTAATTGCTTTGTAGAACACAGTGTTGCACACGAGACTGTAAGAGACTGATCGCCACCAAGCAATAACTAAGTGAAAACAATCAACATAAGCAGCATGTATAATGGATATCTCTCTCTCTTTGGCATCCATTTTCAGTCTACTTTCCTTATTTTGAAAAAAAAAATACCCCTATGCTTATTCGAGCACCATGCTGCATGTTTATAAATCCCCCCTGCATTAACTTTTGAATTCCTGAACCAATCTTTATGAAACTCCGTATGTATATCATGGCAATTGAGTCCATCTCAACGACTTACTTTATAAATCCCTCCCATCAGTCTGTGTGTCTGTATGTGTATCCTCTTATCGTTGCTAGGCAACGGCTAGGTAAAATCTTTAAAGCTACAACTAATATACACGAAATAATAAAAGAATAATTGGACATCCATTTCCCCATACACCTTCATGGAGTAATGCTTAATTAGTTAAGCACAAGTACAAATTTATATTTTACAGAACTTACATATCTTAATGAAATATTTGTATGTTACGCCGTGTAGGTCTGCAATTGCTTTGTATGATGAGATTTTTTTTTTCCTAAATCGATTAATTATAGTTTAATCTCCATACAAGATAAAATTGGAATGACATGAACCAAAAGGTTACTAGCCGATAATTCGTAAGCGCCTGGATGTAGACTGTGCCTTAGAGACACGAACTGAACGCAACATTTATAAGAATGGTGCTGTGAACACGGTGACCGAGGAGATGCCAACATATATGTATCATCTCTTATAGAACGCATTCTTGAACTCCAAGGTTAAGGTTTGTAGTGTTTATGGAACGAACCCTATCTTCGCAGGAACGCAGGAAGCTATCATAATGTTTCTTTTGTCGACTTTCCAAGCTACAGGCAATCTCCTTCAAGAAAAGCGAAACAGAATTCCGTTCCGGATCTCATAAAATGTAAAATTTTTTATCGCCGCTCTAGATATTTTGAAAAAAAAATCGTAAAAGACGAGAGAGGAAAATTTATCAAACATTGATACAAATTTTACTGAATTCCTTGACCAGCTAAGAGTTATTATCAACTTTTCAAGAAAGACCTTACATCATCCACTTTGTTAATTACTTAGAATGATACGATAAGGTAAAGTTGTCCCTGTACTTAACTACAACCACCACTCCATGAAGACGTACGGGGGAGTGCATGTTTAAGTCCACGTAATCTTGCCCTTGGCCGGTCACGGTAGCCGAGCGGTCTAAGGCATGAACTGTCTTCGCTCGCTTCGAAGCCGGGATCGTGGGTTGGAATCCCACTCAGGGCATGGATGATTAATTTGTGTGTGCGTTTTTCTGTGTTTATGTACAGGTAGAGGCCTTGCGACGAGCTGATCACCCGCTCGAGGAGTCCTACCGAATGTGTAAGATCTAGAAAAACCGAAGTGAACGGAGAAGTTCATGGAGGTAGTCCTAGGCCCACTGGGGCTGTAGTGCCAAGGAATAAAAAATCTTGCCCTTAACACTAGTTGAAGGCGAATCGTTAGAATCACACCCCGGCCGCTTTATCCGCGAGGATAGAGACCGCGGTAAACCTTTGAATAGGTGGGTGGGTGGGACCCAGAACCAGTGTAGACCTTCTATGGATGAGAAAAATCTTGCCCCTACCGGGAATCAAACTCCGTCCGGCCCGCAGTTAGTTAAAATTAAGGCAGTGCCATAGCACAGGCGGTTAGTCGCCTGTTTCCCATCGCCGCGGTCCGGGTTCGAGCCCGGGCCAGGTCATGTGGAACAAAGTGACACTGAACCAGGTTTCCTGAGGGTACATCGGTTTCCCCTGCCAATTAGCATTCCACCGATTGCACCACAATGACCGCCATCTATCATCTGGGGCTGGTACAACAGGCCAATTAGTGACCGCAGTAGCAAGTGGACTGAGTCTCACACCATGGTAAAAATAAAACAAATGAAAAATAGTTAAAAATTTGTTAGCTGGTGAGTCAGTCTAGTTACATGCTTAATGTGTACAGTCTCTTATTCAATGTTCTTCCCATTGCTGTTATGGAGCGGGCTCAGCGTCTGCGCAGAAAGGAGAAGACAGTGGTCCAGTTATAACATATATACACCCAAAAACAGGTGCTACAGAGAGATAAACGCCCTCAGGAGATAACGGCTACTCATCACACAGCGAACTCCGCATTTAATTTTCCTCGGTTTAAGCTCCCCCCGCCCAAGAGATCCGGATTAGCGCCGTCGGTATAGCAACTGGCTACGAGCTGGTCGACTGAGGGGTCGGACTTCGAATCACGGTAAGGTAAAGAATTTTCTCTTCTCCACGTCGTCCACATCGGCTCTGGGGTTCACCCAGCCTCTTAAGCAATGGGTACCAAGGGCTCTTTCCTCGGAGGTAAAGCGGCCGGGGCGTGAAGCTGACAACCCACCTC